CAGGGAGAGCGTGTGAGCCTGGGGTCGGGGGAGTGGGTTGGGAGGAAGGAGTGAGCTGAGGGTTGCAGAGCTGGGAACAAACCTCTGCCGAGGAGCTGGCAAGGCTTTGAAGTCGTGTCACTGACATCAAACTCTGAGACCCTTTGTAGGAAACACAGCGCTTTAAGGACTGTTTAATAAAGCTCTCGACTGGGAAAGAAGCAAATATTTTATCAGGCTGACGCTGAGTGCTTTTTGTTGTGGGTTTTGGGGGAAGTGGGACTGGCAATTACGTTTAATTGATATCCTTTTCCTCTTGTTATCATTGGGGTATCGATTGCTGGGAAAACAAAATGCGTGTTTTAAAAAATTTACTGTAAAGTCACAGCTCTCATTTGTTTTGTTTAGCTCTGTGTTCTCCAAGCAGCTCATTTTTCTTTGCTTTGCTGGCAAATAGAATGTTTTGATTGAAAACAATACTAAATAATCGGTTAAATGGGATATTTAATGACAGGAAAAATTGTTTAAAATATTTTTTCCCATAGGAAAATCATGCCATTTTCTTTTCAAGCCTAAGAAGCCTTTTAATGCCAGTATAAGTCTGCATCCTTCCTACTGCTTCGCTCTAGAATCAGATATGTGGGCACAGTGTGTGTGTTGAAACGTGGGGGTCAAGGTGTGATGGATCCTGCGAGCTCTGGCACAAGAGACATCCCTTGAGTACGTCCAGTTTTTCCCTCCATCACTTTCATGTGGGATTTCTTAGGCCCCACCTGCTGTCGTTTTGACATCCCTGTGGGATACCCAAGGCAGTGCAGCAGCCTCCAGTGCCCCTGTCCCAAAGAACTGATGCAGGTGGATGTTCCCATGGTCGCAGGAGCAGAGCCTCATGTTCCCCCATCTGAACAGGAATTTGGAGCGTGAAAACTGCAGTGAAGTTGCAGGGATGTTGCCAAACTCTGCGGCACGTGACTCAGCAGTAATTATGGCTGGCAAATTTATATTTGTCCTTCGCATGTCAGGTTCAATACATCAGCTTTCCATATGCTGTCTGGGGCTCTGAGCGTGTGTCCGGCTCAGTGCAAGCTGAGCAAGCTGCTGCTGCTGCGTGGGTATTGCCGTGCTGCTCTGAGGGGTAAAATAGAGCCCCATCTGGGCAGGGTTTGTTCCCAGCAGCAAGGCTCTTCTGCTGCAGCGGTTTTGAGACAACTGGGATTGGGATGTGCTGTGGATAGGAGAGATGTTCCATGCCTTGGATCATTTTTGTGGCCCTTCTCTGGACACGCTTCATCTGTGGTTTATATGTACAGGAGAGCTACTGGTACATTAATACCTCCATGTGAAAGCTCGCTTCCTCCGAACGCTTCTTTTCTATTCCAGCAACGACCTTAGTAACAACATGGAAAGTCTTTATGTGCGTGTGGCTGTAACAACACAGCACAGAAGTCGCAGGATGCAAGGTGATTTATGGCTCGCTGCTGTGTGTCAGTGTGTGCCCCGGCTGCCCTCTGCCTTATCTACTGCAGAAGGATGCAGAAAGATGGGGCGGGCTTTGGCTGCCTGCAATTGCATGCGTGGCATGGGTGGTCCCACAGCGAGCACCCACAGCCCTGGGAAAAGCTGACATCGGCAGGGGATCAGCAAGCAGGCTGAAGTTATCACCGCCTTCATAATGGCATTTCTGCATAGCTAACATATCATTTCCTGTAGAGCTGCACACATCATTGCTTAGTGCCATGAACTTAACTCTTATCAGTGCCCCAGTGGGAAAACCCAAGTTATTTACAATAGCTTTCTTTTCAGTGTTGTAAGCTTATTTTCAATTAAAACAAACAGCAAATTAAATATTAAATAGATAAGTAGGGAAAGTGAAATTAATTGATTTTCTGGCACCGGGGTGAGGCAGAAAGAGGAACCTTAAGGCGGTTTTGCTGAGTTGCACTGCCTTCCTTCTTGCTTATCAGGTACACGGGACTGGCTTTAAAAGCCAGGCAGCTCTTAATATGTGTTGAGAAGCAGCAGTCCTCAAAGTAACAGCAGTATGCACTTCAGGTTATTCTTTATTAAAGGAGAAATGTAGTAAAGCTTTCACTGTTAGTAGCAATGTTGGAAAATGCAGTTCGGTGTAAGTAAGTCCTCTCCATAGAATCATAGATTCACAGAATGGCTCAGGTTGGAAGGGACATCAAAGCCCACCCAGCCCCAACCGCCGCTGTGGGCAGGGCTGCCCCCCACCAGCTCGGGCTGCCCAGGGCCCCATCCAACCCGGCCTTGAGAGTTGTGCCCTGTCACCCAGATGCTGCTGGCATCACTGGGTTCCTGTGCCTCAGGGACACACGGGATGCAGCTTGGAACGGCATTTGACTGTGCCTTAAAAATCCCAGAGCAGAAGCAGGCATTCCTTTCAGGTGCCTGATGGTGATAGATGAGCTCTTTTTTCCCTCGTCTAGATAGTTCCTCTGCCCTGTCACTTTCTAAAGCAGCGGTGGGGGATTTTATGATGCTTCAGACTTTCATCCTGCAGTTATCTGTCTCTCTCTGTGGTTCTGTGCAGCATGCTAATCCCTCAAGGCTCATACACGGCATAATTTTCATCTTAATTTTTCTATTTCTCAATGCTAAATGGCCTTACCAGGGGAATAGAAGGTCATTTCCCATCCCCACCAGATCACTCATTTGCTGTGGAAACGCAGAGATCATCTCACGCTTTGCAAACAAACGGCAAAGCAGAAGTACTGGTGCCGTCTGCAGTGCTCCTCAGTGCTGCAGAATGGAGGGCAGCAGGGGTGCAGGGCTGGGCTGCAGGCCTGAGGGAGTTTTGAATGGTTCTTTTATAAGGAGGGAGATGATGTGAGAAGTATAAAACCTCTTTTTAATTCCTCCACAAGATGGGCCTGCTTGTTTTGGTGCCGCTGCTCCTCGCTGTCTGAATCATCAGCATTATTTCTCTCCTGCTTTCTTGTGCTCGGGAATCTCTGCCTGCAGCCGGTGGTGAGTGAGGAAACAAACAGAACCCCTCAACCCCGCAGTCGTGTTTTCCTCTCAACATTTCACGAGATGAGAAGAATCATGAATTATTCTCCCCCAGCCAGCAGCAGCGGGGGAGAAGGAATGACTCATCTGTTTACTTTTAAAAATCCTCTTTAAAAATCAGATGTGCCTGATGATACATTATCGGGATTTCTCTCGCCTGGCCCCAGCTATTAACTCCCAACATTGCTGTAGTCCTGCTCTGGCCGTGACACCGTGCTGCCAAACCCGGGGATTTACAGGCCTCGGGAGGGATGCTCTGGTTTCCCGTTTCCCTGCCTTGGCCGTGGTTTGCCCTTTGTTCGGGGTCGGTTTTTGCGTCTGTCTGCGTTGAGCTGGCAGGTGATGGTGCTGCTCCCGCAGCCATCCATGTGGGCAGGGCAGCGCTGTGAGCAGCTGGGCCGTCCGTACAATCATGGGATCATTAAAGTTGGAAAAGACCACTAAGATCATCATGTCCAACATCAGCCCATGTACCCAGAACAGGCTTAGGGTCTGTGTGTAGCTGCTGTGGGCCAAGGATGCAGAGCAGTGGTGATGGTGTGCGGTCTGCTCTTGGGTAATAGCGTGCAGCTGTGCGCAGGTGAGGAATGTAAATCTGGGGTGCTCTGGTGCTTCCCCATGGTAACAGAGTTAAAAATGGACAAGTTTCCATGGTGATTATTACCGCAGGATGCGCTGCTCACTTCAGGAGTGGCACAGGCAGCAGGGCAAAATCTGCAGGCGGAAATTATTTACCCTTCTGAATAAATGAATGCACAGCACCATTAATATGCTGCTTTGCGGGGAGCTTGGGGGGAGCAGAGTGTTAATCTTTGTAGGAAATAGGTTGCAGATTTCACTGTCACCATGAACAGAAACAATCTCTGTCCTTTTTTTGTTGACATTTGCTTGGTTTAGATAAAGGCATAGGCTGGTGAATTTGAATCAGAATCACAGAATGGTTTGGAGAGGACTCTAAAGCCCACCCAGCCTCAACCCTGCTATGGACAGGGCTGCCCCGCAACAGCTCAGGCTGCCTAGGGCCCCATCCAACCTGGCCTTGAGTGCCTCCAGGGATGGGGCACCACAGCTTCTCTGGGCAGCTGTGCCAGTGCCTCACCACCCTCTGAGTAAAGAATTTCTGTCCCTAGAGGTGTTCAAGAAACATGTAGATGTGGCACTGAGGGATGTGATTTTTAGAGGTATAGTGGTGATGGGCTGACAGTTGGACTAGATGATCTTAGTGGTCTTTTCTGACGTTTATGATTCTAGGATTCTATCTGCCCTTGTAAAAAGTCAGTCGCCCTCCTTTATAAGCTCCCCTCAAGTTCTGGGAAGCCACAATGAGGTCTCCCCGCAGTCTTCTCTTCTCCAGGATGAACAAGCCCAACTTCTTCAACCTTTCTTCATAGGAGAGGTACTCCTGCACTCTGATCATCCTCATGGCTTCCTCTGGACTCCTGACAGGCTGTAGAGGTGCTGCACCAATGGCCTGACCCACTTAAGTAAAGCCTCATGGGAGGAAAACATAACAGCTCTCACAGGGAACTGAGGACCCTGCCACGGTGGAACATTTCTGAGCCATGTATATTTAGAAACATTTGGTTTTGTGCTCCTGCTGAGTTAAAGCAGTGCGCTGTCTCTGGCTCTGCCATACACTGTCATTATGCAGAGCTTTGTTTTAAAGCAGCAGAAGGGGCTGCCCAAGCCCTTGGGTTGGCTGGCGTACGGGAGGGGGTTTTTTTTTGACTGCAGCAGCCCTCAGGTCCTTTAAATTATCTGTGTTTACGGCTAAATATAAGTTCCTTAAAACTCTTCGTACAGCACTCACAGATGTCTGTATATATAGCATCACTGTGTACATTACTGCTATGAGCTGTGGAGCCGTTACCCTGAAACGTGGAAATGTTCAAGGGCTTGTTTTGGCGACAGGGTCTTTCAAGGCAGTCGCAAATGTTTTGTTAAGCAGGAGATTTATGCAGTGTCTAAACCATGTTTCTGCATTGCAGGCCAAGCGATGTCGGTGCCGGAGCCCCTGGCAGCCCCATCCTGCTGACGGCGATGTGAGCGTGGCGTTGCGGAGCCCCAAAGCCCTGCAAGATGGAGGAACTCTACAAGGAGACTCCCAACCTGCCCATGGATGTCACCAGCCCACCGGCGGCCATGGCCAACAACAAGCTGGAGAACGGCGTGGCCCAGCTGATCACGGCAGAGGCCTGGAACATCAATTCAGCTGACCTGATGAAGAAGGCCCTGTCCCCGCTAGTGACCGTTCCTGCTCCCTCCATCCTGACACCACCGGCTGAGTCACAGAGCGGGGTGGCACTGAAGGTGGCAGCCACTGTGCTGCAGCCCATCTGCCTGGGGGACAGCCCCGTTGTCCTGCCTATCCACCTGCAGGTGGCTGGCAGTGCCGCCCCGCAGATGCCGGCCAGTGGTGCCACCCCATACGTCATGACTACGCAGGGCCCCGTCCCGCTACCAGTCCTGCTGGAACAGCATGTTTTTCAGCACCTCAACTCGCCCCTGGTGCTGCCCCCCGGCACTGCCTGCCCTGCCAGCCCCCTGCATGGTGGTCTCTTCCCAGGCGCCTCTAACCCTGTCGGCCAGCCCCAGCTCCTGGACCCCAAACCCTCGGGCCCAGGCCAGGAGCCTGTGCTGCCACCTGTCTTTCAGACACCGGGTTTCGCTGCAGTCCTGCAGGACCTCTTCCCTTCAGGGCAGGGTGCCCTGGGCTCAGCCCCCTGCCAGCCCCCTCCTGACTATGCTGCCCTCCCGCCCCAGGCCTTCAGCTCACCCCTCTCCCCACTGGTGCCCCCTGCCACGCTACTGGTGCCCTACCCTGTCATCGTGCCCCTGCCCGTCCCCGTGCCCATTCCCATCCCTGTCCCCATCCCCATGCCCCATGGTGCTGAAGGCAAGGTGACCCCCGACCCACCCAAGCCCCCACTCTTCACCCCGCAGCCCTGCAAGGGCACCCAGACTCCTCTGGAGAAGGAGGAGACGAAGCCCTTTGACCTCGTCCACCAGCGAGACTTCTCCCAGCTAAACCGCCACACTGTCATCAAGATGGGCAGCGAGAATGAGGCGCTGGACCTCTCCATGAAGGGCCCGCCCATGCCTCGGGCCTGCGAGGCTGCCCCACCACCACCATCCCCTGAGGACGGGGCACTGGACCTGTCACTCTCCTCGTGCCGCAAGCCAGGGGGTCCCCACGGGGAGATGGCCGGCAGCGGGCCCAGTGCGGAGGGCAGCCCGCAGGACAAGCCAGCCACCCCCTTCACCCCCTCCAAAGCGCCAGAGGCTGCGGGCAAGGTGGAGGGCAGGGTGGTGGGGCCGGGGCCAGGTGAGCTCCTGCGGCCGCCACAGAAGTGGTTGGTGGAACCAGCCGGGAGAGCGGCCTGCGAACCCAAGGCTGGTGGCAACAACATTGAGATCGTCAGCACCTCTCAGACAGCCAAAGTCATCGTCTCCGTCAAGGACGCCGTGCCCGCCATCTTCTGTGGCAAGATCAAGGGCCTGTCGGGGGTATCCACCAAAAACTTCTCCTTCAAAAGGGACATGCCCCAGGACTCAGTGCTGCAGTGCTACGACGTGAAGAGCCAGCCCGAGCCCCGGGAAAACGCCGAGGCGCTTAGGAAACCCGTAAAGAACAGGAGCGTAAAGCTAAAGAAAATGAACTCGCCCGAAATACACATTCTTCCAATAAAGAAGCAACGGCTTGCGGCCTTTTTTCCAAGAAAGTAAATTATGGGTTTTTAGAATTTTAAGATTATTATGGAAAAAAAAATAATAAAAAAGATGCACTTGGTTTTAAACTCATTTAAAACTTTAAACTATCTTTGTAAGTTATTTTTGGGGAAGGGGGAGAGGAGCAGATGTAGAGTCCCTATAAGCTGGGTTTCTTCTCTTTTTTTTTTGTTATTAAATTTTGACTTTTCGTGGGAAACTGAATAAAAGCAACCTATTTTTCAAGCAGATTGCACATTTTGCAGCTTTAATGGAGTAACGGATGAGTCAGAGGGGTAAGAGCTATTTTCACTGCCATAAAGTGCTTTGATGATGTAATTCTTCATAATGGTTAGAACGGAAATTTCAAAATAAATGTTTGTACGTGCTAATCGGTGGCGGTATCTCTGTCATTTCTGAAGGGGCTTTGGCAGCATGGAAGAGACCTGGCCAAAGTCTGCAACCGCCTTCACGTGTTCAGAATGCTACTAACAATCCACCTGGGAGCGGATCAGGGCGTGCTACTGGGGGCACTGCGCCCCAATGGCCTTCAGAGTGGCAAAAATGAGGGTAGGTGAGCGGTGCGGCCCTGTGCCGACACTCACAACCCAGTTCTAAAGTGTTGAAAGCAACAGCAGCAGTTATTTAAACAAGAAAGTCTTAAAATCTGTGGGAATTCGGTTGCAGAAGGGTGATAAGGAAAAGTCGCCTAATTTTTTCCCAGCCTGGCTGTAGATATATGGAGGCATTGTTTATTGTTAGTTTTATAATTGTCTTTGATGGCTGAAGTCAATGCACATGAAAGAGCAGAACTATGTAACTTCATTACTTGACGGTGTACAAGCCACACACGTCCATGGAGAAATGTGAATGTACCATTACAATAAACGTTCTGGTAAGTGATGGTTTTGCACTTGTGTATGACAGCTGGAGATACGCTACTGCACGTTGGCTTTAAAGGCCATCTAGTCCAACCCCCTGCAATGAATAGAGAGAGACATCTACAGCTCCATCAGGGTGCTCAGAGCCCCATCCAGCCTGACCTCGAGTGGCTGCAGGGATGGGGCACCCACTGAAACGTAGCTCTGAACCCATCATCCAGGTAACACAGTGCTCTGACTGCGCCAGGCTTCCTCCCTCTGCAGCCGAACAACTCCCAAGTCTCCCCTTGGGCTAAGGAGATTGTGGCAGTAGTTCTTGCAGGAAACTGGCCAGAGATGCAACTTCCAGGTTCAAAACGCCATCTCCAGGTATGGGCCTCATCATGAGCTCCGTTGACACTCCCACTGCAAAGAACACAGCACTGCTCAATGCCCCCACCAACCGACCAGGGTTCGGGAAGGGCATTCTGCCGCTCTTATGGGCTGAAGGACTACTCAGTATAAAGAATGAGTGGGTGTTGCGCACCCGCAGCATCAAATCCTGTCAAACTCTTCTCTTTAAATGTTTTTAAAGCCTTTATTTTTCCCAAAGCTGGCAGAACTAAAAGTGCTTGGAGAGCTCGTAGCATTGATGGATTCATTAATGGTTTGTCATCTGACAGGTTTTTGTTTTTTTTTAAATAATTTTGTTCTTAATTGAAAGCGGTCTCTATTTTGTTCTGCTCCTCCCAAAAAGCAGCGCTGATGTTCCACCTCCCAGTAGCTGCAGTGCTGGGTCTGAGGAGGTCCCTCCGGACTCCAGTCCCATTGTTGCTTCCCCACAGCTGTGGCAGGGCCAGGCGCAGGGTGACATGACCTGCTGGACTGCCCTGGGGGAACAAGTTAAGACCCGAGCCCCAAAAACCTTGATACAATGGCAGTCAGCTGCTCTTAGCAGCCTTTTTAAGTCCACACAAGCACTGTAAGAACACCCAACTGCTGTGGGTGGCTGACTCAGGCGTGAGGACAGACAGGCAGCAGGTGCCCCAATTATTACAGCCCTCCCTCTCTGAAACGGAGCTGAGGGCAAGGTGTGTGAGGAGCAGCCGAGGCCCCGAGGAGCTGAGGGGAGGCCTGATGGCGGCTGCAGCTCCTCACAGGGAGCGGAGGGGCAGCGCTGAGCTCTGCTCTGTGTGACAGCGACAGGGCCCGAGGGAACGGCATGGAGCTGTGTCAGGGGAGGGCAGCTGGGGCTCAGGGAAAGGGGCTGCACCACAGGGCAGTGGGCATGGAACAGCCATGCCACAGCACCTCCCCTTATGCTGAGCTAGATACCATCTCCCTCCTACCATTGCTTGTGTTTGAAGCACATGGGCACAGAACAAGGCACTTAATTACACGAAGATTGAGCACTTCCACCTCCTCCTCCTCCTCGCTGCTAGCAGCAATTACAGATTTTGTACATTGGCCCATTAATTTTCTCCACGGCTACATTTTAACTGCTTCTGAAACTTCTGCAGGAGAAGGATGGGGAGCTGCTATATGATATATGGAGCCTCCATTTCTGGTGGCTGTTAATGGAGACATTAATACCTCTTGAGAAGTTGAAGGGAAAGTCATTAAGCTGTAATGGCAGGAGGAGGATGTTTTACAACGATGGGCACGTGCAAAGTAGAGACAGAAAGGAGCAGCAGTGACCCTCAAGGGCAACCCATGTTGGCTCCAAGCTCCCAATGACTTGAGAGGTGGGTTTTATTAGGAGGTGAGGAAAGAGCAAAGTGGGATCCCTTCCCATCTGTTTGCTCTCAAGGAGGGGCTTTGCAGGAAGCCATGGACCCCAACTTTGAGCTCAGGGAAAGCAGCCCTAGGGGCAGAGATGGCCTGTTCCCTGGCACTGAGGTGAAAAGAGGAATGACATTTCTAAGCCTGATAAAAACAGGTGATATTTAGACTGGCAGAACAGACAGACAGCCAGGTGAGAAGCAGGCAAGTATGAGTTCAAGAAGGTGGAACAGGAGAAGATGGAAACAGGTCATGGAAGCCAAGAGCCACCTCCAGATCTGTCATATTATGACACCTGTATTAAAGCTAGCAAGAACGCAGCCACAGAATGAAGGGAAGAAGCAATGTGGCAGCCCTTGGCCATGAGCAGAGCAGAGGAAGCTCTCAGCTTCATACAATGCACCCCATGGAACTGCGCCATCGTGAGCAACAGGGCAGCGAGTACGCAGTGCGCTTGCTTGGGCTGAAGGCAGCTGAGACACAAACATCACACCACAGCACAGCACCAGGGAACATGTCCTTCCCCTCCCATTCTGCCTCTGCCATGACACAGCCAGTGGTGGGAAGAGCGGGACTCAGCAGCAAACTTGATTAAACTGAAAAGAGAGCAGCAAATGCATCAACTTCTATCACAGATGCATACATAGCACTGCCTTGTATGTCCCCACAGAAGTGGTTGCTGAACAACAAAGGGAGCAGTGCCGGGAGTCTTCTTCTCCACTTGTGCAGAGGCACCCCAGGACAGTGATCTAGCAGCAATATTTGGCCTACCAGCAGCCCTGACCAAGGACCTCTGACAATGGAAGTAGTGTAGAGCAATATTACATAATATCCTGGTGCCAGACGTTTGGGTTTCTTTTTGTGCTCAAGTTTATAAGAACACGCTGAAGTGCTTGGGCAAAGCCCTCACTTTCATCTGGCTGGTATGGGCTCCTGCCTTCCTGCATGTCAGCCTGCCACTGCAACAGTAATGGTGTGTATTTGTGCCATTTGCTTCTGTACACACCTGCCTCTTTATTCACTTCAATTTGCTTCTATACTCACCTGCTCCCCCCTACTCTTATTTACAATTTCATTTCTCTGAGACTACGCCATGTACTCATCAGTTCTGAAGTCTGCAATTCAGAACAGTCTCCGTGCACAAGCAAATCCCCTAATTTCAGTGTGGAAAATGTGTTTTCCACAGTTGTTAAATTTCCAGTATCGCCCCCCTGCTAGGAAAATCCATCTTGTTGTTTAACCACCTGAATCATTTCTGCATGTTTGAGGAGAAAAATTACTAACCACTGAAGTATTTAGCACTGCTTTGTGCCCACATACCCCAAGCTCTCCTTCAGTAATAGCGTAAGATCCTGGTACTGAAATTATTAGGATACTTTCAAATGAAGTGGGGAAAATGAAAAGAGCAATAGGCAGGATGGCATCTAATAAAAGTGCCTGGAATGGAGTACTGGTTTCCAGGCAAAAAGTTTTCACTGTAATGAAGTTCAGGTTTGTAGGGACGTGCTGGGAACCCAATGCCCTGCCAACCCATGCCAAGCCCCCCTTCGCTCCCGGGATTACTAATGTTCCTTAGTCCACAGCTGTCTCAAAATGGCCACATTTTCTGCATTGTTTTAATATCATCCTTCCCACAATCTCCTCATCAACGGCATTCCCATCCTTTTCTGCTTAAGAAACAGAGATGATAGGCAACGTTCTGTCCACGTCTGGCATCTTGCAAACCAAAGCCACAAAAGAGTGTGTCACTGCAGCACAAAACAAGGAGGTCCTTCTCCCCAGAACCTATGTACTGTAAACAAACAAACAAACAAGCAAGCAAAAACAACCCACAAGTCCCATCAGTAAATATGGGAAAGTTATTGTTGAGGATTCTGCTTCACCAGTCGTTTAGTTGGCTACTGAGACCTCAAGGGGAAAAGAATAACACCTCACCTGCATCCAAACTTATAAAGATTTCAGGTGGATTTGTCATGCTTTAATTGAAGGTTTCCAAGTGTGTACCAGGAAAACTTGGCATGATGGCATGCCCTTGGAGACCCTGCACAGCTCAGCCATGCAGGTACAGAGCTGCCCCAATGGTCCCAAAGCCTGAGGACCATACGCCTCACGGGGCCAAGTACCCAGATACTCATACAGCAGGACTGAAAAAAGAAATATTTAAATGCTGTCATCTACATTTTGCCACTTCAAATGAGAAATGACAGTGCTGAGAGTGTGCAACACACTGGGATCTGGACTCAGAAATATTCTCAAGAGATAGACTTTTAAGGCCAGATACTGTGGACATCTGGACTTCTGAGCAAGACCCTTTGTGTGGTAGACCATGGGACTTTGCTAGTGCCCTTTCATTTAGTAAGACACTCAAGCATGTCCTCCTAAATGCCAGGTAGGTCCTTCATTAGGGTTTCAGGTAAAGGGATTGTTCCATCCTTCTCACAACAAATGGCACTTTTGATGATGAATTAGTTAACATCCTGAAGTGAAGAGAGACAAGTACTGAGGCTCCCATGACAGATACTGGCAAACCAGTCAACAAAAGCTAAGGAGTCCAGAGAGCTATTTCTCTTTGTAAAGCCAATGCTGCTATTGGGTCAGATCGCTCATACTCCAAACTCAGTCAACTACGCTTACGTGGTCTACAATGTGAAACAGCTATGGTACAAAGATGGGAAGCTGTATGAAGTTAAACCCAATGCTGTATTCCTTGTCAGATAAAACTTTAGAACAAATCACATTAGGAGGGAATT